TGGAGTTCAGGAGAATGAACAGCCTGGAGGGATTAGCATGGAACACAGAGACTAAAATCATCAAGAAAGCCACTAGAGACAAACCAAGAAGATACAGAAAACTGAACATGATGCCAATTCAGTAGTAAAGAAGTGAGTTTTTAGCATGTTACAGATGGTGACTTAACAGAGTAATGAAAAGTATGCCTACCTGTCCACTAAAAGTTCCCAAGTCCCCAGCTAAAATACTGCACCGGAATTTCTACCACTCCCTCTGGCTTGGACTGGATAGAGGGTCTTCCAAAAATTGTGGGCTGGGGGCTGGGCATTATCTTTTGAGTAAAACATGAAGATTCACTAAAAGGAGATTTATGACTTTATTCAGTCAGTAAGTCAAGGTTTTGAAAAACCAATGGAAATATCCAAAGCCGCTTGAAAGAAGAGTGAGAGTCTGGACAAGCAGATTAAAGCCAGTGTAGAGGGTGACCTAGGGAAGACTAGGAGTCAGGAGTTTTAGTAATCTGGCAAAGTGTGCCTTGTTAAAAAAAAAAGAAAAGTCAAGAATGATTTGGGGAAAAAAAAAACAAGGAAATAGAATAGAGCAGGGTAGAAACTTTAAAGGAAGACCAGAGGTTGGCAAACTATGACCCCTAAGCTAAAACCTGGTTTTGTAAATAAAGCTTTATTGGGGCATAGTCACACCCATTCATTTACATGCCTTCTACGGCTGGGCTGCTTAGTGCTTGCTATAAAGGCAGCTCAAAAGTTGCAACAGAGACTCAATGGCCCACAGAGACTAAAATGTGTATTGTCTGGCCCTTTGCAAAATCAGAAAGCCACTAGAGACAAACCAAGAAGATACAGAAAACTGAACATGATGCCAATTCAGTAGTAAAGAAGTGAGTTTTTAGCATATTACAGATAGTGACTTAACAGAATAATGAAAGGTATGCCTACCTGTCCACTAAAAGTTCCCAAGTCCACAGATAAAATACTGCACCGGAATTTCTACTACTCCCTGGCTTGGACTGGAGGTCAGGGCACATGCCCGGGTTGCGGGCTCCATCCCAGAGGGGGATGCACAGGAGGCAGTTCATCAACGATTCTCTCTCCTCATTGATGTTTCTATCTCTCTCTCCCTCTCCCTTCCTATCTGAAATCACTAAAAATGTATTTTTTTAAAAAGGTTGAATGAAAGCATAAACTATATTATCTACTTTACCTCAAAGTACCACTTATATCGCAAAGCTTACACTGAAAAGAGAAAGGCTCTTAATTGCTATTGATGTTGTTATTCAGGGCGCACTGAAAAGAGAAAGGCTCTTAATTGCTATTGATGTTATTCAGGGCTTCTGAACATTCTTGATTTTCTGAGATTTTTTATGATTCATTCTACTAGATATGGCTTCTACACCAATATAAATTTAAGCCAACCTAATATTCTTGAGATTCAAATGGAATCTCGATGATTTTAAGAAGCTATTCCACCAAGACAATTTTGCCACAGTATACATGTGGGCAAGTGGGTAATCAACTTAGTGGTACCAGATAGCCCCAGCCATATCAGTACAGACAAAGAATGAAAAATGTTTTCTCCATTTATGGGGAGCCAGATTCATAACCCTCCTTCATTTGCTTGGGCAAGTTACTGATAAACTCCCCAGGCAAAATAACAAACAGTGTGTCCCTGCATCTTAGCTGTTGAAAAGGAGATTCCTTCTCTGATTGATGTTCGCAGAGAGGCTTGTAAAAATGCATTCCCAGCTGATTCGTTCCGAAGGTGTCGATCTCATGCAGCTTTATGACCTGCGGACTGCATGCCAGATGTACATTTGCTTTTTATAAACTAACAAAGATGAATGGCTGAATTCGAGCACTCCTCCTTGGTCACTGAGCCATACAGTGTCTGCAGGAAGCCACAGTGGGAGTGTGGTGAGGAAAAAGAGAGTGGGGAACATTTAAGCCTTAATTTATCAGAATAATGGGCATACAATGTAATACAGTACTTGGAAGTACTTTATTGAGTAGTTTCTACTCATGTTAAAGATTTAATGTAAGGGGAAACCTGCAGCAATATTAAGAAATGTTTATGTTAAGTAACTCTCCCATGCCAAATGCATTCTAAATCTGTGGAGTTTTATTTTTAATTGTGTTTTTTTTGAAGTCAGTAATAATATTGGGGCAATGGTTGAACAGTTGACTACTTTAAAATCTGAATCACAATACTGTGCTTCTATTTCTTTGAAAGAGATGGAGGGAAAATGTGCTGCATTGCACTATTAGAATATATCTTCGTGAAAAATAAGCCTGTGGCATAGTTTCATCTTTCTTCCACTAGAAATATTTAGACATTTCTCATTTTCGTGGCCTTTTGGCTTAGTGATATTTTGGTGAATTTATATTAAATTTCAAAGTTCAGTTGCATTTGATTTTGTTAAAACATGATTTTATATTTTTTTCCAAAGGAATAATACGCAGTGTTATTATTTCATGTTAGACATCTACATGAAAATCTATCACAAGGAAACAATACGTCATAAGATCTGCCT